GGTTTACTGTTTATTTAGTTTTGGTTCTAAATCCTACAAATCTTTATTGTCTTTCACTGTAATTTATTTTTTTATTATTTAGGGAGCATTATAAATAGTTATGCTTTTAAAAGAAAAAAAAATACTACTGTTATAAATAACACATTCAATTGAACTGAACTATGCATGCCTATTTAAATATATTTATACATGGCTTGTGTATATCGTATATATACATATATATTATTCATACCTTTGGTGTATCGGACTCAAGCAGATTTTGACATCAAATTTTGGGGTAAAAAAGTGTCTTATATGTACCAAAAATACGGTATTTAATCTAAACTAGTATGATCAAAATATTTATTTGTAAGTGAAAAGAATAGCAGCCATTTTAACTCAGTTTTACTCAGAATTTTTGATAGCAAACTAAAAGTTATAAATTTACAAACTTAGTCAGAATCAGTAGAAAAAAATAAACCTTCTACGGTAGTCTGACATTATAAAACAAAACTGGACAATGAACATCTATGGTATGAATGGTCACTTAGTCCTTATATTTCACAGTGAAATATACAGCAAAGTGGTCAGATAAGGGTTTGATTAGCATAAGTCCAGAATGTCACTGATCACACCGGTTGGATTAGTAGTTGATAAACATACTTAAATGAATGAACCATTTTACCTTTTGGTAAGGTTATCTTCTTCTACAGGAGTCCTCTCTGAGACTGAAGATGATGGAACAGATTTGGCTCCCTGGAGCTGATCAAGAATTTCTAGTCCATTTTCCTCTGCCACCTGTTGAATCAAATTATCCACTTGTTCCTGTGGTGTGCTTGTTGAGGTTGCACTTCCCATTGCATCCTCTAGAACCTGAGAAAATCAGTACCAGTTTTGTTCATTGAAATGTTCTGGAGGCTTAAAGACTTTGATTGTAAATTACTATTGTCTGATATGCATCTACCACCATCAAAATATACATAATTACTTAACACAAAACACTGAAACTGAACAGTAAGAGAAATGTGCTTAAAATAATACATCATGATACTGAAACTCAACAGTAAGAGAAATGTGATTGAGAAATTACAACCTACACAACGAATACTTGACAGAAAATACTAAAACTCAACAGTAAGAAATATGTGCTTGAGAAATTCAGGCAACACAACAAATACTTGACAGAAAACATTGAAACTCAACAGTGAGAGAAATGTGCTTGAGAAATTACAGCCAACACAAGGAATACTTAACAGAAAACATTGAAACTCAACAGTAAGAGAAATGTGCTTGAAAAATTACAGGCAACACAACGAATACTTGACAGAAAACATTGACACTCAACAGTAAGAGAAATGTGCTTGAGAAATTACAAACAACACAACGAATACTTGACAGAAAACATTGACACTCAACAGTAACAGAAATGTGCTTGAGAAATTACAGCCAACACAACGAATACTTGACAGAAAACATTGAAACTCAACAGTAAGAGAAATGTGCTGGAGCTGAGAATGAGCTCAGATTAAAATAAGAAATTCTGATGATAGTTAAGCTGAAGCTAATTTTAAATTTTTTAATAATAACAAACAGCGATATACATTTTGAACATTAATATTTCTTCCACTAGCTGTTTTATCTATTTTTTTAAAAACTTAAAACAGTTGGCATGACATTTCAGGCTGAATTTGAGATCAGTTTATCTTCCAGAAATTGTTCAATAGTAGGTTGAAAATCAATCAATCATTTAATTTATCTACCTGTGTATATACATATACTTACAGATGTTCTCACATCCAAGTCTTCAAACTGATTTTCAAATTTATCCATCACAGCAGAAACCTGAGTGTTTAAAAAGACATAGTAATAAGCATACTTTGTACAATCAAAGCCTACAAAGGAAAGTGGTACAATAATTATATGCAAAAGATTCACATTACAGTCTTTGTTAGACTACTTCAAAACCGGTTGGGTTTTTTCATCATGAGACATTGAAAAAATAAAAAATGTGTATAGTTACGCAGTACACACACACTGCTGGGATGTTAAAACACTAAAATAAAACAAAAACTCCAACTACACATACAAATTATGTTGTGCTGCTACTTCATAAGATGTTAAAACACTAACATCTAAAAACTACAACTATACAGTACACACTGCTGAATAGCTACTTCATCAGATATCAGTACATTAACATGAAAAACTACAACTATACAGTACACACTGTTGAATAGTTACGTTTTTCATGTTAGTGTACTAATATCTGATGAATACAACTATACAGTACACACTGCTGAATAGCTACTTCATCAGATATTACTACACTAACATCAAAAACTACAACTTTAAAGTACACATTGCTGAATAGCTACTTCATCAGATATTAGTAGACTAACATGAAAAACTACAACTATACAGTACACACTGCTGAATAGCTACTTCATCAGATATTAGTACACTAACATGAAAAACTACAACTTTAAAGTACACACTGCTGAATAGCTACTTTGTCAGATATTAAAATGCTAACATACAAAAGTTATAATTTTCTTACACTGAAAATATATTTCCGACAGGTACTTTAACATACCTAGCTATTCTCGTTCAATGCTGCCCTCTATTTGTAATTTGTTTTTTCACGTGCCACAAGCCTTTTACTCCCATGTACCCCTTGGTTCATATGGTTTAACTGATTCATGCATGCAAATTGTCATGTGACAAACCTCCACTAATAGATGCACCCCACACATGTGACTTCCTCTATGCAATTCTACCTAACTATCACTTCGAGTTTAGGCAGAAACCAAAGCACAGGTGGGAAGTATGAGCAGAAGCAAGTACGTGTCCTAAATATATTTTTAATGTAGGGAAATTATAAGTTCCAACAAGGTATCTTATTTACACTCTCATACATAGCTAGAATCACACAATGAATAGGTGGAGGGACCTGTGCAAAGAAGAAAGTAGAAGCATCCTTTGAAAGTGTCCAAAGGACACCCAGATGTGGAAAAGGTATGACAGATCCAGGCAGACAACTCTGAGGAGCACATCTCAATGAGAGAGAAAATGGTTGGACATTGATCCTAACCACAATATATAATAATTTCAATATCTTGCCGATGAACAAAAGGTGGGTAAAATAAGGGATGTTCCCCAAGGTGTAGAGTGGCTAGGGTGTAATGGACAGTATGCTGCAAGTCAACTGCATCCAAAACTTGACTGCCGGGAATCGATATCTATGTAGGGGAAGGAAAGAGGATCATACCATCTTCACCTCAAGTTCATCCAATTGGAGGGAGAAATTCCCACCACCGATTGGGGAACAGGGTACATGTGATCAGAGAGAAATATATAGATATCCCATACGAAACAAACAGACCAGCCCACTTCAAGCACAGTAACATCCTCAGCATAAAGACATCGAGGGTCAGCACAAGAGGAAAAAGCAGAACAACCAACAAGTGCTCCAACCATGACCCACAGCACCAAAGCAGTGCCCCTGAGGAGAAACGAGTGAGGCACCAGGCACCCCTTGAACATGTGTGAGGAGTTATGGTAATTGGTTCAGCTCTAAATCCAAAACTCAACTGCCAGGAACTGACTTCCATGTGGGGGTAAGATGAGGGATAACCCACAATCAAGGAAACCAAACCTCCATGATCAAATAACCAAGCGAGGAAATTTGTAACAAGAGGAACAGTGGGACAAGCAGGGGATTACCCACGATCCAAAGACCAATGGTGGAAAACGTTCCATTTATGGTGAGAAACTTCCATGGAAGAAAGTCAAACTGAAAGTGCCAACAATGAAGCTACTCGCTGTGATAAACCAAATGCCTTGCCAAGGACCAGATAAAATCCTGGCGTGAAGATGAAGTGTAGGAATGGTGAGATTAACTACCTGGGACCGAGGCTGCCATAGAAAATATGGAGTGCTGGGAAGAGGCAAAGGTGTAGCAGGTTGGATCTGGAGCAGCCACAGAAACCACAGTTGGGCCAACCAGAAAGGGGCAATCAGAAGTACTTGACATGGAGTGGATGATAGAAATCACCTTGGGAAGGAGTCAGATAGGAGGATACACATAAAGGAATTTGTCTGTCCAGTCCTGACTGAATGCATCAACAGCCATAGAAAGTGGATGAGGCACCAGAGACCAAAACTGAGGTAACTTGGCTGTGAGGATAGTGGCAAATGCATCCAGGTATGGAGTACCCACCCAAGTGCATAACCACTGGAAAACCTGAGGATCCAGAGACCACTACACTGGATTGTCCGAGCAGGATAGACAATCCACAACAAGCTTGAAAGCAATCGAAACAAGACAAGCAAGTAGATGAATACTGTAAGTGCTGGCCCCAAAAAAAGATCTGATGTTTGACAATGAAGGGAACAAGAATGGGTGCCTCCATGGCGATTGAAATGTGCCACCAGCATAGAATTGTCTGTATGAATCATAACCAGACGAATGTAAGCAAGAAGAAGAAAATGATCCAAAGTGCAATGGACAGCAAGAAGCTCCAGAATATTGATATGGTAAGACCAATCTGTTGCAGACCAATGACCATGAAGCAACTAATTGCTCAACCTACGACTCTTAGCTGTGAAGTGAAGCTTCCATGAAAATATGTAATTCTGGATGATGGGGAGGAAGCAGAACCCTGCCAAAGTGCAAGCCTTGTCCAACCATCAATGCAGATCGTCTACAAGGGAAGTAGGAAGGATAAAAGGAAAATCCAAGGGATCCCATGCAAGATTTCATTGGTTGTGAAGAGTCCACTGAATGTGATCTCATATGAAGTGGATTTCTCATTATCAGGATCTCATATGAGCACGACCCACGGGGATAAGTGCTACCATAGAGGACCATATCCCCAAAAAAGATGCACATGCAATAATAATGGGAGCAGTAAGGGCATCGATGACTGCCAGCTCCATTGAATGGAGTCACAGAGGAGAAGGTTGGACCCAACTGAGATGAGTGCTGAACAAAACATCCAAATGGATAAGATATTGGGTAGGAACAAGAAAGGATTTCTTCAACTTGATCAACCAACTGACCCAAGCGACCTCCTAAAGATGCAAACAAGCATGTTGGGCAGACTCCAGTTTGGAATAAGCCAACAGAAGTCAGTCATCCATGTAATGGTGAAAACTGAAGTGTGCATAAGTCCGGCAAAAGCCTTGACAACCCAACAAAAGACATATGGTGCCACAGCAAACCCGAAATGAAAAGCAAAAAATTCATAAATCACCCCATGATGACCAAACCGAGGCAAGCATCTCAACTTCCATGATATGGAATTATGGAGATAAGCATTCAAGGCGTCGACCTTGGTTATTCATAAACCTGGAGAAAAAATTCACCTGAAAGTGAGAAACGACTCCATGGACAAAAGAGGTAGCACCAAGAAGAGATTGAGGCATGACAGATCGATCACAGGCCACCAATCTCTGGTTTTCTTGGGGACAACAAACAACCTGGAATAAAATTCCGGAGAAGGGTAAACGACAGGTTTGATGGCATTCTGAGAGAGAAGATCCTGTGCTGCCTCAAACAGATACTGACATGTGGTAGGATCCCGAGGCAATTGAGGAGGGGAGAGGAAATGGATGACAGTCCCTTGGATAAAACCTGAAGGACCCATAGATCAAGGTGAAGATCTGAAGACTGCAAAAGGGGGGGATGGGGATGCCTGCACCATCACATAAGTAAGATACAAAATGCTCAGCATGAACTCCAATATTAGAAGATGATGGAAACAAAAAATACTGAGAGGAAGGACTATCATGTAATAAGGAAGGTAGAGGGCTATAGGAAATCGAGGAAAGGGATAAAACAAAACATACCTGGGAAAATGTAAAAAAAAGCCATATTAAGCCTAATAAAACCCACAATAGGAACTTAGGAAGACACTGCAAATTCAGGTGGAGGAAAAAGGCTGTCAAATGCTTCATCGTCCCAAATAGGTTCGGCTTGTTCAGGAGGAAGTTGGGCACCATCAGGAGAAGAAGGTTAGCTTAAATACCAATCAGTCTCTTGATGAATCATTGCAGATAATCCCAAAGACAAGTTTTCCCCACCTGAAGCCTGAATAAGTGTGGTGGTAAAAGGTACAACCTTCAACACGTAATCTTGTATTTCAGAATTCATAAAGCAAATAGAAGCCCAACACAACTGAGCTGATAAAGAAAAAAAAGCACGGAAAAATGATTAAGTACTGTAACTGGGTAGAAAACTAAATAATAACACAATGAAATTAGATACAAATAACAACTATTTAAAATAAGTAGAAAACTGTTCGTATAATACAGTAAACAATACAAAAATTCTAAATTTGAAGAGAGCACTAAAGAAAGCGTCCGAACACAACTTGCATGCATGAATTAATTAACCCTACTGACACTGATTTACTTATGGTTACAGGTCAAAGGCCATGTCATTGTATTTGTAGACTAGCATTCAAAATTTTATTGAATTACTATTTTATGAATGTATGTCAATAAGTTTGGTATCAAATTGTAGATTATAATTCATATTTTAGTATTATACATTAGTTAGTTTCTTAATTTAAAAGTAAATATTAAAAAAATCCTAAATATCAATTTTTGTGTGTCACATGGCATGTTGAATGCAGCATTGGTTCTAATTAGATGTTTGTGATGTCCAAGTACAAAGTCTATAGTTTCTTATGAATTAGATATTGACAAACTAGAATCTCGAATAAGAACCTCCTATGCTTTCTATTTTCTGAAATATTAATACATTTATTGAATCAACCAAGGTGGCTCCACTCACCTCTTCCATTTTTGAAAATACTTGCTTACGCACACCTACTACGCCCAATGATGTGTGTATAACCTATCGAAAGCTCAGAATGTCCCCCTAGTGGTTTTCTCAGCCTCTGCAAAGTATTTCTGTGGGAACACCTTTTTTCATGTTAGATTCCAAGCAGTAAGGTGAAGCATTAGTGAGCTCAAAAAATAATTTTTGTAGACCCAAATAC